GGGAAAGGGAAAGGGAAAGGGAAAGGGAAAGGGAAAGGGAAAGGGAAAGGGAAAGGGAAAGGGAAAGGGAAAGGGAAAGGGAAAGGGAAAGGGAAGAAGAGGGAAGGTAAGATGTTGTTTCAGCAGGTGCTGACGCTAAGCAAAGGCCTTCCCATAAGCAGCAAGCACACCAGCATGGGGATCATGCTGGGTTTTGCTCGACAGCAGCTCAGATTCTAGCTACACAGGAACGCTGGCTCCTCAGGAACAGGAGTGGTACAGGCAGCGCTCGAGGGGTTTTAATGGGCTAGCACACCAATTCAGGCCTGTATCTAAACAGAAAGAACACATTTCTTAAGAGGGTAAGCAGCTGACGCCAGTAGCATCTGATCTCACGCTGCCAACAGGCAGTTCAAGCACCCAGGGCGGTTGCAGCCAGGTCAGCTGCTGCATTTTGTTTTCAGCAGTGCCCTTCTCCCTGTTCCCCTGTCTCGGTCACAAGCCAGCCAAGGCTACCATTTGCCGGGAGCGCTTCGTTGTGTCAGAGGGGATTTTCGGGACAGCGCTACCAAGTCTCCAATGTCAAAGGGCAGAAAGTCTCAGTAAAATGAAAGTGCTTTACTAAGACAGCAAGAAATGTTTCCTATTTTCTAACAAAAGAAAACACCCTAGGACTCGGCAGCAAGTCTGAGTGTTCGTAAAAATCTAAGTGGGAACAATCTGACAGTCTTTAACCAGTAATTCTAAGGCCTAAGTCACAAGCAATAAGTCAACCTCCGGGCAACAAGGGTATTTCCAAGGTCACACAAAAATATACAAGAAGTGAGACTGGGAGTAAATTTAGCAAAGGGTCACATATTGCCCCACTGCTGCATGGCATTTTAATCTCGTTTAGTGCCACATTTCTGAGGGTTTCTCTGGAGAAAGTGCACCAATCCTCCCAGTTTCCTCAAGAAGCAAGGTGGCCGGCCAGTGAAGGCAGGGAGAAGCCCGTGCTGGTCCGTACTGGCTTTGAATCAACGATCCAGTTCTGTGCACCTGCAGCTGAGGGTCTGAAGGAGGAGCTTGCCATTAGCCAGCAGAAAGAAGCTGCTGCTGGCTGAGGGGTAAACTGTTTTGTGGGAGCTTCTGGAAAGCTTTGGTACCCAGTGCTGAATGGCTAAACTTGGAAACCCTCTTGTGACTCCACCTTTGCACCTGAGCACAGGCAAGACCTTTAACTTGCTCTACCTCTCTTGCTTCTCTGCAGTTGCCTAAAAGTCCTGCCAGCTGGGCAGTTGCAGGAATCAATATAGCCAAGCCTACGCTATCAGTCCTTATTCGTCAGACACAGGGCCGAAGCACCAGTTGAAAGGGGGAATGGCATCCCCAAAGGATAAATCCTCTAAACCAGGTTTTCCAGACCTTGATCTATTGCAGCAGCTCTAGAAGGCCAGTCTAGCCTCTAGAAGGCTTGCTCTGCCCCGAGGCAGAGGGGAGATTAAATTTCTCAGTCAGGAAAGATTTAATTGAAAATGGTTCTTTATAAGAAATGTCAGCTCCCATCAGACAGTTGCTTTAACAGCAGAGCCCTCACCAAGCACTTGCTCTCCAAATAACATCAGTGCTCAGTGGAAGAGCCAACTACATATAGACAAGCCTGTGTACTTATGGGCAGCCTCTACAATATATATCGCGTGTTCTCCTTTAACCCTACGTGTCTTGCATCCCTTGTACACTCCAGGTAACAAATCAGCTAGTGACTATTAACAATGTTACCGTAAATCAAGTAATCACAGCAGCACAAATGCATCCTGCTAGATTTCAGAATTTAAAGAGTACTGCAGAAATGAAGCCTGTCTTCTCGTAGCCCTGGTGCAATGCTTAGTGACT